AACCGCTCCCATTTACGCTGATGGGGCCAGGGCAGGAAAGCATCTCTGGGAAACGGTCTGAAATCTCCAGGCACAGGTCAGGACCGAGAAAACACATCCGTCCTTCCGGGAATAGAACCCAGCACCCTTTTGTGTTCCAAGACAAGTTGTGCAACAAATATCGATACCAATCCAAGGAAGGGCAAACCACTTTGCCAGGCAACAGGTGGGGGCGTTCTTCACGCAAGACTTTGGCTCAAGCGACATTCCTGGTTGGGGCTGGTGCCGGATCGTTTTGCAACTAGCATGTTTAGTAAGGCAAAAATAGTGGTCAGCAAACTGCTGGGGTCGTCTGGATGGGGGTCTGGCCCCATTCTGTTCCCGATGGCGGCCCGTCGATGTCAGCTTTTTGGTTTGCCGTCACTGCCCTTGACCTCACTTACCTTCATTGCTATGGCATCTGACTGGCAGCAGCTGCCCCTGTGAGTTTGCCCATTGGTCTCTGTGACACAGTCCCCTTATCACGTTGCAACAACATCCACCAAATCAGGTGGGTCCCCACAGCCATTCTCATTCCGTAGCAGTGATGGCAAAGGAGGCCGAGGGCAGTGAGGGCGGAGGGGGAGGGGAAGAGCCCCCGAAGCTGCATCCAGCCACACAGCCTTGAAAGAACATGCCTGAAACGTGTCCAGAAATGGGAGGCCCTTTCCGGCATATGTGAAAACAACCTTAAGCAAGCTGTGTCGTTTGAATCCTGCCCAGCAGGGGAGAGAAGTACCGCTTCTGGCAACTTGTTTGGGGCCCAAAGGTCTCACCTCCCCCGACTCCAGCTTCTGCAGCTCCCTGCCTTGCAATCTGGGCAGGGGCCTCTGGGGATGGGAAGCTGCAGCCCCCACGCTGGCCTACCAGGACCCCCTCCCCTCTTTCTGTGATGGAGACCCAGGCCCAGAGCCATGGGGGCATTTGGGGGCAATGCCCCCCACATATGAACGCTGCCCCCCTAGGACAAAAAGTAAAGTTTTAAAAATGTGAGATGCATGTGGGAAATACCCCCCACAGTTGAGTGTTGCCCCCTTGGACAAAAAAAAATTAACAGTATTTTTTAAATGTGAGATGCACGTGGGGTTTCCAAAAAGACCCCGGGCACAGTCGGGGAAGCCTCAGTCTCATTTTCTTTTTTCCAGGCCCAAAAATAGGTTTTTAAAATGCAAATAAAATAAAATAAAAATGCAAATAAAATAAAATAAAAATGCAAATAAAATAAAAATGCAATAAAATAAAATAAAAATGCAATGCAATGCAATGCAATAACACTGCAAAATGCAAAAGAGAGAGGGCCGGAGATCCCCCCCCCTCCCCGCAAGTTACACAGAAAAGCAGCCCGGAATCAAGTCTCTCCAATCAAAAGGACTAGAGGACTAGAAGAAGACTCCAGTCACAGTGGAGCTGGAGCTGCTTCATCTGCCGCTGCAAGAGGAGCGGCAGGCACAGCTGGGGCGCCCTTGTGGATCTGACCGCACCCCACCAACCAAAATGTTCTGGCTACGCCCCTGCAGATACCTCTGGTCTTGCAGTCTCTCACATCAGGGGGCTTCTACGGTGAACACGAAGGCCAGAGAGGGGACGGAGACATTTGGCTCCAGGGTTCCACTCTCAGATAGGACAGCAGCATCTGCATCTCTGGTTAGATAGCCGCTGTCCTCTCTCCAGCCCCACATCCCACATGGTTTGGGAGACAGAGGACCCAGCACACGCTGGAGGCCAGACCAAAGGGCATCAGGCAAATGGGATGCAGGGGGGAGTGGTCGGGGTTTGTGCGGCAGGATCTGGCCAGGGCACGCCGCACCCCTGTCGGGGCATGTGTGTGTGCCGCGATGTGCTGTGATCGAGAAAGTGGTGAGTGGCCATCGCACCCTTCGCTCGTGCCCGCTGCACTGCCGGGCACGGAGGAGGGCAGCTGCCTCCCAGCACACAGAGGGAGCTCCAGGAGGCGTGGCTTCTTGCCCTCTCTCATTCCGGCACCTGCCAGAAGTCCTTCTTGCATTCAGCTCCTGGCACAAGGGGTGCTGCGAACAGCATGGTGGGCCCTTGCTTCTGGCCTCTTGGAGACAGACAGAGGCAGGCAGGCAGGCAGGCACACCGGGGACGTGAGAAAGGCTCTGAGGCAGCTTGCTGGGGCCTAGTGGGGGTCTCCTTTAACTGCCCCCATCCCTTCCTCTCCTTGACATCCCCCCCCAGTGCCGCAGCAGCAGGTCTCCCTCCCCCTCCCGCCCTCTCCTTCGCGTGCGTTCTGCACAGGCAGCTCCCCAGAAGGAGAAACAGCCTCTCTCCGGAACCTGGAGGCCTCTGTCTCTCTCCCTCACCCAAACCTGCTAATTGCTCAGCACGGCAGCTGCCTCCAGAGCCAGGCAGAGCCGGGGGCTGCGGGAGGGGGGGGGGACTCATGCACTGTCCACATGCTGCCTGATGCAGAGACACTCTGGGGGAGCTGGGTGGGCCGGGACCTCAGCCAAAGCCTCCCGCAGGAAGAAAAAAAACCCCACTGCCGAGGAGAGCCAGCAGAGACGGGATTCTTGTCTTGCTGCTCCGAGATGGAGGCTGAGTGAGGAGGAAAGAAAGCAAGTTTCGTGGGTTTGGATTGAGCAAAGGTTGTGGTCCCACCGTCTTTCCGTGCAAGCCCTGGAAGGCATCGGGACCTCCCACCGGGCTCTCCTTTCAAGAGGTGACTGCGTTTCCAGGGACATGGAACTCAGTTCAACAAAGGACCGGGCATTCCAGGACACCGCACTCTTCACAATCGGCCCCACAGGTATTGCCTCTGGGAGCCGCTCTGCCGACCCACTCCACTCCACCTTCCTTGAGGGAGCCAGGTGGGGAGGCGAGGATTCATC